GATTTCTGTTGATACATCCCAGTTCTTTTGTACACTGCTCAGTTTTTAAAAAAGTCACACTGTTTTACCATTTGCTGGTTCCACTGCTGATGGTTTAGAGCCAAACTAACTGCATGTTGAGTGAAAGTTTGCCCCAGATTGCTGATCCTTCACCCCCCAAACAAAAAACACCAAACTCATTTCCAACAAGGAAACACACTCCACCACTGATGCTCAGTAGCAGCATTGTGTACCATCTACAAAATGGACTGCAGAAATTCACCAAGACCCTTTCAACAGTAACCAAAAAAACCAAAAGAACTGAGGTTGTAGACATGCTCACTGAACTGGTGGGTTTGGTTGCAAATTTTTGGCACCCTGCTAGGTAACATCATCAGTCGCCACCGATGAAGCATCGGTGTTCTGTCCCACTTGTTATTTATATGCCTTGGTTTGCTGGGGTGATTGGTATTACTTCTGGTTTTGTTTCTCAGTGGTTCATACACAGGGTCTAATTCAATGTATTTGTTGATGGAGTTCTGGTTGGAATAACCAGGCCTGCAGGAATTCACTGGCATGTCTTTGTTTGGCTTGTGCGATTATCCATGCGTTGTCCCAGTCAAATTTGTGTCCCTCATTGTCCATGTGTAGTGAGACTGTGAGAATTGGTCTTGTGTCTTGGTGGCTAGTTGGTGTTCACGAATCCATATAGTCAATTTTCTTCCGGTTTGACCTATGTAGTGTTTCTCTTGTCCTTGCATGGTCTTTTGTATATTACCTCAGTTTTGCCAGTTTTGGGTATGGAATCCTTTAAGTTTGTCAGTAGCTGTCATAGGGTGGTTGTCAGTTTGTGGGCTACTCTGATACCTAGGGATCTGAGTAGTCTTCTAGTCATCTCTAAAATGTCCTTGATGTATGGTAGGGTGATAAGTGATTCTGGTCATGTTGTGTGTTCTGTTGTGGTCTGTCTCGGAGGTAACAGCGGATTGTGCTTTTCAGGTATCCATTTCTTTTGATTCTATATAAAATCAGGGTGGCACGATGGCTTGGTGGTTAGCACTGCTGCCTCACAGCACCAGGGACCCAGGTTCAATTCCACCTTTGGCGACTGTATGGAGTTTGCACATTCTCCCCATGTCTTCATGGGTTTCCTCCCACAGCCCAAAGATGTGCAGGCTAGGTGGATTGGCTATGCTAAATTGCCCATAGTGTGCAGAGATGTGTCGTTTAGGTGGGTTATAGGGGGATGCTCTGCGGGTTGGTGTGGACTTGTTGGGCCGAAGGGCCTGTTTCCACACTGTAGGGACTCTATAAGTGTTCTTGTTCTGCTTTACATAGTTTCGTGTTGCTGCAATGTGTTGTGGCTCATTTACATAATGTCCTGATGCAGCTCCGTTTGTGGGCGTTGGGTTGTTTGCTAGTGTAATTGAATATTTGTCCGTATGTGTGGTCTTTCTATATATGCTAATCTGGAGTTCCCCGTTGTTCTTGTTGTCTACCATTATGTCTTTTGGTCGGGAATCAAGTTGAACCTGGTTATGAGGATCTGTCTGGGTTTGAGGTGTGAGGGGGAGATTCCATGTCACAGGGCCGTAGATGTTGAGTTTTTTTTTAAATTCATTCATAGGATGAGGGCGTCACTGGCTAGGCAGCATTTATTGCCCAGAGGGCAGTTAAGCGTCAACCACATTGCTGTGGGTCTGGAGTGACATGTAGGCCAGGCCAGGTAAGCATGACAGTTTCCTTCCCTTAAAGGACATTAGTGAACCAGATGGGTTTTTCCGACAATCGACAATGGATTCATGGTCATCATTCGGTTCTCAATTCCAGATATTTATTGAATTCAAATTTCACCATCTGCCATGGCAGGATTCGAACCCAGGTCCGCAGAACGTTATCTGGATCTCTGGATTAACAGTCCAACGATAATACCACTAGGCCATCACCCCCCTAGTCAGGGGGGTTTTGTTGGGCCTCATGAAGGGGAAGGGCTATGGGGCAGGAGGTTGAATCCAGAATGTGTTTTGGGTCCAGTGGTGTGGGTGGAAGCGAAGGTGTGCATTAGGTATGGAATCTGTTAATTAGTTACTTAGGAGTAGTGGATGTAGTTAATCGTCTATAATGTAAGAATGACAGTCTGGTCAGTGGAAAATCCAAACCCTGGTAGTTGAAAGTAACAAAGTAAAGAATTGTTGAGAGTTATTTATTTGTTTATATTTAAAATACTTTTGGAAGAAGAGTTTGCTTTCTCTCCACTTTGCTGCCAGATGTGCTGAATTTCACCAGCAGTTTCTTTTTTGTTTCAGATTTCCAGCATCTGCAGTACTCCATTTTATTTTAGCATTTAACTTACTGCTACATCTCTTCCATGCATACACAACTTGAAGAAGTTCTGCACCTCCTACTGATAGGATTTCTGTTCTTGTTATTCATTGTTACTTCTGTTGTTGCTCCTCGTATTTGCCAAAACTTGCTTTCACAGCCATATCTCATGCCTCAGTGACTGCCTCCAGCTCAGACTCACTCCATGTGTGTTCCAACTGAAGTTTCATCCTTTGTATTTCAAATCCACCCATGATCGCAAATATTTCAGTGATGTACAGTGTTCCTCAAATAGCTGTTTTTGCTGCATCCTGAGATCTACACTCAGTGCCGTGAGCTGCCATATGCATAGTCTCACCCTCTCTCTCCATTAGCACTGCCTCACCCCATCTCAGAGCTGCCCTATTCCCCCAGTTCCACTGAATTCCCCAGCTTATTTGACATTCTCACGAGAAACTTCTTCCTTTCAGGCATTAAGGAAGAGAAGCTTCAACAACTAATGCTCCTTTGGAACATTTCTCTCCTCCCCTCCCTTCTGTCTCCATTCCATCTCCCAACTCCATCTCTTTTAAAAAAAAAAGCAGACCCAGGGGTGGCACGGTAGCACAGTGGTTAACTGCTGCCTGACAGTGCCAGAGATACAGATTCAATTCCAGCCTTGGGTGACTGTCTGTGTGGAGTTTTCACACTCTCCCTGTGTCTATGTGGGATTCTATGATACATTGTTACAGTCAAGGCTAGACAATAACTCAAACAAACAGATGTATTGTGAAACGAATAATAGTGGGCCCTCTTGTGGTGCAGTGATAGTGTTTCTATCCCTGACCGGGAGGCCCAGGTTCAAGTCCCACCTACTCCAGAGGTATGTAGTAACATCTCTGAACAGGTTGATTAGAAAAATAGGTTAATTAAAAATTTAATAAAGCAGACATAGGGCACCTGTGGTGCAGCGGTAGTATCCCTATCTTTGAGCCAGGAGGCCCGGGTTCAAGTCACACCTGTTCCAATGATGTGCAATAACATCTCTGAATAGGTTGATTTGAAAATAGGTTTAAATCAACTAAAAGCAGACCAGGGATGGATCTCCACAACAGTCTGTCCTGTACTGAGACTAGCCTATGTATCCCACAAGTGGTCAGGCTTTGTGAGTTATTACAGGGGTAATAACACATTCAGTCCCCTGCAACTCCTACCGGCCATGAAAAACTTGAAGTGTGGCAGGGGACGCAATGTGCTTCCTCTCAAAGGACACACAGGCCTGTGTTCCGCTCTCTGATGCTGAATGTTCTGTACTCAGCAAAGATTTTAATTTTATCCTCAGCACCTACTTCAGTGAATTTTCAGCATGACATGACGACGAACTCTTCTTCTATCACATTTTACTCCAAGTCTATTTCTTTGGGCAAGAATCCTCCTCCCATCCTGCAGACCCTCACAGACTGCCTGCAATGCGGAAACAGGCCATTTGGCCCATCAAGTCTACACTGACTCTCCAAAGATCTTCCCACACAGACTCACCCCTCTACCCTATCCTTGTGTTTCCCATGGCTAATCCACCTAACCTACACATCCCTGGACGCTATGGGCAATTTAGCATGGCCAATCCACATAACCTGCACATCTTTGGACTGTGGGAGGAAACCGGAGCACCCAGAGGAAACCCACACAGAGGCAGGGAGAGTGTGCAGACTCCACACGCGGTCACCCAAGGCTGGAATTCAACGCAGGTTCCTGGTGTTGTGAGGCAGCAGTGCTGACCGCTGATCCACCGTGCCACCCCCTTCACTGCCTTCAACACCGTCCCTCCATCTGGACCCCTCCCTTTGATCTCTTACCTGCACTTGACCTATTCATTGAGAACTGTTGACCTGACATCAGTGACCTTAATTTCTCTGCTCCCCTCACCCATTCAAACCCATCTCTCTCTGAACTGATTGTACTCCATGCTCTTAAATTTAAAAAAAAAGTGTTGTGAAGAAGGGTCACTGGAGTTGAAATGTTAACTTTGCTTTCTGTCCGCAGATGCTGCCAGACCTGCTGAGTTTCTCCAGCAATTTCTGTTTTTGCTTAAATGTGCATACGGTACATAGGTGGACAGTGAGAGCCTTTTTCCTCAGATGGTGATGGCTAGCACGAGGGGACATAGCTTTAAATTGAGGGGTGATAGATATAGGACAGATGTCAGAGGTAGGTTCTTTACTCAGAGAGTAGTAAGGGCGTGGAATGCCCTGCCTGCAACAGTAGTAGACTCGCCAACTTAAAGGCATTTAAATGGTCATTGGATAAACATATGTAGGTTAGATGGGCTTCAGATTGGTTTCACAGGTTGGCGCAACATCGAGGGCCGAAGGGCCTGTACTGCGCTGTAATGTTCTATGTTCTATGATCTACATGCTGTTTGAGTCACAGCACCTCAGGAAGGATATATTAGCCTTGGAAGAGATGCCTGCAGATTCACCAGAATGATACTGGGCTGAATACGTTCACTGAATAATTCAATCAAGTCTGTCAGGCACAATTTGTCTTCAACAAATTCATGTTGATAATCATGATTTTCAAAAGATGAAAATTAATTTTGTTCCAATTTATGATCTCTACATGTGGACCTGCCACTAACATAATGCTGACTGGTCAGTCGTTACTCAGTTTCTCACTTTCCCCTTTTTTGCAATTGCTCTTTCCTGGGACACATGGAAAAACATGGAAGCCATTTACAGCCTCACCAACTGTGTTCCATCCTGCATCTGTCAATCCAACAAAGAGCATTATTTCACTGGAATCCTGTAGAATCAAGACTGGCTGCAGTTACTCAGTAAGCCACTAGGGACAGACACTAACTCTTCAACAACTTCAAATTTTGTGGCACTTTACAAATGTCCTTTTTTTGAGATATAGCATCTGTAATTTCAGGTGCTGATATTCAGCAAAGCAAGTTAATGTTTGGTTTGTTTTTGTTTGCTCTTATGTTTCTCCCTTGCAATACACAAAGTAAATGTTGTGCAGAACAAGAGATTTTATTTCACTGGCAAGGTTAATATTTGTTGCTCATCCCTTATCACCCTTGAATCGAGAGGCTTGTCCAGCCATTTCAGAGTGTAGTTAAGAGTTGGTCATGTTTCTATGAATTTGGATTCACATATAGTCCAGACCAGGTAAAGAAGGAAGATTTCCTTCCCTAAAGAACATCACTGAACTAGACAGGTTTTATGGTAATCACTGATAGTCTAGGGCATTAGTTAAGATCTCTGGATGAATAAACCAATGACATTACTTGTACAACACCTTCTACTCCTGAAATAAGTATGATTCATTTGATCAATCTCATCCTCCACGTAGGAAATAACCTGTTAAATGAGGGTGAATGTTTCAAAACTACAACCCTACCATTGCCTCCATGTGCTAAAACAAAGCATGATGAGCAGTTTCTTTAATAAGCTGCAATGTTACAGCCATTTAAAATAAAGTCCTCAGTGTAGTCACTTTCTGAATCACCATAGTATTTAAAGTCAGTCACCTTTCCCAGACACTTGACATTGAGATAAAGACTTTCAGGACAGCATTGGATTTAATAAAAGCTTTTCTTGTATTTAGTCACAGCAAGGGGCAATAAGCAACAATGTTGTGTAATGAGCTTGTCCCAATTTCTCTCAGTCAGATTTCACAGCCGCAATATCAACTTACATTTATTCAAAACATTTAGTGAAACATTCCAAGCTGCTTCACAGGAGCCTTACCAGATGAAATTGGGAGGAAGCAGTATTCTCAGAAAGTCATAGAACTGGAAAAGTTTGGAGAGACATTTGAAAATAAGACATTTTAAATTAAGATATGGGTGTACATGAACCGTTCAACATGAGAGGGCGAACAAGACTTTGCATGTGTTACGATACAGGTAGCAGAATTCCTGATCAGCAGAAATTTACAGAGACTGGAGGCTGGGAGACTGGCCAGCTGAAACTTAGAATAATTTCAGTGGAGGTAATGAAGGCATGGGTTTCATGTACAGAGGAGCTGAGGCAGGGGTGAAGACAGGGCTATTTGGAGATGAGAGTGCATGGGGTCAAAAACTCAGTTCTGGAGCTTACAAACATTCAAATAGAGACAACACCAGCGAGATGGAATTCTTTCAAGACAATTAGCAGTATTTCATTCTGACTTCAGTTGTTTTGTGACCCAGTCAGCTCACTGGTGGATCTTCCTTCTTCTACACCGTACACTCACTCTCAGCTCTGCCAAACTCATTGGCCAGGCCTCCCCCTCACTGTGTATTCCCAGTGCTATCACGACATATACTGTTGACAGGACAGCATTTCCAGCATCCACAGTTCTTCCTCATTCTCCCCATTCATTTCCACATTAGCATACATGCCATTTGATTTGAAACAGATATCTCCCACTTGTGTCACTTCATCCTACTGAGGTGCACAGTAAAAGACCCGAATCTGAACAGAACACTAAACAAAAAAAAAAACAACTGTGGATGCTGGAAATCAGAAGTTGCTGGAAAAATTCAGTTCTGAAAGAGAGTCACTGGACTTGAAACATTAACTCTGCTTTCTCTCCATAGATTTCCAGCAATTTTCTGTTGTTCTCCAAGATGAAACACAGGACAAACTGATCAAAACATGAAGAAAAACTTTATTTCAGAATCCTGAATAAAATATTCTCACGTCACCACAGTGAAACATTAATTATTGAGCTCCTCTTTGAAAATAACTTATAATATATAAGATGCATCTGGAAAATGCTAGACTTTACCACAGAGTATATCATTTGCACAGCACTTCAGAACTTCTGTGAGCAGGTCTTCACAGAGACGGCATGTAGTGGGGATGCAGACAGAATCCCTCATATGATATATCACAGTCATTTGTACAAATTCATTAGCCCACAACTGCTAGCTCTTCCAGAAGAGAGTGTAAAACCAAACACCATGATAGCTATTAGAATTCTTACTATCTCTCAGTGAAAACATTCCCTTTCCTGTGGTACATTTAACAATGTCATGATGATTTTGGGCACACATACAGCAAGGCAGTTATTTCAAGAGGCCACTCAGCTGCTGCAGAGAGTGGAGAATGTGAGCTTTGGGCACTAGCCCTTCTGCCCCAGCAGGTTGTTCTTCCTCTCTGCAAAGCAGGTAACTCCCCATTCCCACAGCCCTGGCTGCCAGATAATCCTTCTGCACATCATCACCTATGTGTGTGGCCTGTTTGGGCTGTACCTGGGCAAGGCCCAGGGCCTTAATAAAGATACGAGGGTCCGGCTTGCCTATTCCAACATCCTCTGACGTGAGCACAAACTGGAAATGCTGCCGCAGGTCGCAGTTGGTTAAAATCTGCTCCAGGCGGTGGTCAAAGTTGGAAATAACTGCCATGTGAATGCCCAGCCTGTCACAGTGAATCAAGGTGTCCTTCACATCATTAAAAACCTCCCAGTTCTTAGCGCTGCTGAACCCACGATAGAGGTTCTCTGCCAGTGGAGTCAGCACCCGTTCGTCACTCACCCCACAAAACCGAAAGGTCTGTTTGACTGTTTCCACCCACCACTTCTGGGAGCTCACACCCTGGCCTACACCGTAGTTAGGGAATAGCTTGTCCTGCATTCGGAGGGCCGCCAGGAACGATCTGTCGAGTGCCTCAGCCTCCACCCGAATGCCGTGCAGCTTGGCCTCTGAGGAATATTGCTCACCGACTGTGTGACGCACTCGGAGCAGAGTGTCCTTTACGTCCCAGGTCAGCAACCGAGGCCTCATCCTCAGTCACTCTTACTTTAACCAATAAAAGATCGTGGCTGCATGCTGAACAAAGAAAGAAGAACTCTCAATTACATATTGTCCTGAGATTGTGAAAGACATCTCACAGTGCTTTACAGTCAGTAAAGTTCTTTTGAAATGTAGTCATTCTTGTAATGTGGAAAATATATGGCCAATTTGTACACAGCAAAATCCTACAACCAGTAAACATGAGAATGACCAGGCTCAGGATTTTGAAGTCTGTGTGTAAAGAATGGTTTGGTCATTCACTACACTCTCGGATGCCCACAACTTTCTTGAGTTATGAATCACAATTTATCATCAGATATTCAAACAGCATAGCATTCTGCACAGTGGATCTGTTGAACGAGTAGGCCAATAAGACCTTGACTCTTCAACCCAATCGTCAAATTGAAGAATCCATTCTGAGACATGCAGAATCTAAACCAGGAAGTATAAAAAAAAATGATTATTTGTAAAATTTTGTACAGAAAGCAAAATAAAGAGATGGAATTAAGAGGGTGAAAGTCTTAATGAAAGTTTAAAATATGCTTCAAAGTTAAATGGAGATTTCAGAGAAATTGTTTGGTAGTAACTCACTTTTTACACATTTTACAAAAAAAGCACAGACCTGAATGTACCAGCCATAACATTTTTGCATATTCAGTGAACAACTTCATACACTTACATATGTTTCCGTGGTGAATCTTTGGATACTGTTTGGGTATAGTAACTTTATGAGGGGACATGGCAACTCAAGAAGTCAGTCACTGGAAGTTGCTAACTGATTTATTCTTTAACAGTTATATGTGAGCACTAATAGTCTCACTGTTATTTAAATACTGTAAAAATCTGGGCCATTTTTCCTGTAATCTTAGAGGAGTGATAAACGTTGGCCAGGACACCAGACAGCTCTCTTGCTATTGCTTGAAATAGAAACAAAAACAGAAATTGCTGGTAAACACAGCAGGTCTGGCAGCATCTTTACAGACGAAGCAGGGTTACTGTTTGGGTCCAGTGATGCTTCTTCAGAATTCTTAAAATGGAACCTTAGGGTCTTTTACATCTGCCTGAGAAGGTGGATAGGGACTTAAATGAAGCTGCTGAAAGATGGCAGCGTGGCACTCCAGCAGTACTGTACTGGAAGTATCACCATAGATATTGTGTTTAATAACCTAGGTTGGAGTTGAAATTCATAACCTTCTGACTGAGGAGGTATAACTGCTAAGTGTTAATGGCAAAACAGGGGATGGGAGTCTGACATATTTAATATAGCTTTAGAACATAGAATTTCCAATTAGCCACCCATTTCTAACAGACTGCACACAACCTCTTGACTGGTGATAAAGGCTGAGAGGAAGCACCCCGAAGTTAAAGCTGTGCACATTCAAGGGGCTGAACAGAGGCAAGCCGCAATTATTTTCTAGAAAACCTGTTCAAAGATGCTATGACACACCCCTGGAGCAAGTGGAACTTGTATCTGGGCCTCCTGGCGCAAAGGTAGGGACACTACCACTGCACCACAAGAGCAGTGTGAGGTGGCAGCATCTCAGCACAAAATGCACACACCGTTCACCACTTACCCCGGCAGACACGACATACTGTGGTTCAATTCCAACTCCGTCCGCACTCAGCAACAACTCTGCCGCCAACGCCAGATGTGCACTCACCCGGAGTCCTGAGGTACGGCAACTTCCGGTTTGTCCCCCAGTTCCGACCCGGAAACCGTTCCCCCGGAAACCTGTTCTTGCCGCCTACTGTTCCACTGAGCATCCCCTTTTGTAGACAGATGGAAGCTGTTACTGTTTTTTGAGAAAAGAGAGTTTATAAAAGGGAGGTGGGGTCGAATTTAGCTGATGTTTCTGCTTGATGAAAGTCTGAGGGATTCCAATCCGTACTCATCAGGGAGATGCCAACTTGTAAACCAGTTCTGCTTCATTGTCTAGAGACAAAAAAAATACTGCAGATGCTGGAGTCCAAGGTAGACAAACAGGAGGCTGCCTGCTGTGTTCTTCCAGCCTCCTGTTTGTCTGCTCCATTGTCAGTCTCAAAGAAATGTTCGAAGTACAAATGAAAGATTGAAAGAACAAAACAATTTTATTTTAATATCGCCGTGGTTGTTTTTCTCCAGAGGGCACACAGCATCGCCCTCGAGATTGACTTTGATTTCATGGAAACTCCAGTCTTGGCAATTCTACCTGGATCTTTTTGTCTCAGATTTCCAGCAGCCACAATATTTTGCTTTAGTTGCCTAGCTCTTGGCTTGCAGATCACCCAAGGAGCAAATTCCAGCCAGACAGAGCTGCCAACACGCTATAGGATAGCCCTGGAGTCTTTAGAAATTCATCTCCTAGATATTATTGTGTGCAAACTAACTGGACTGCAGCAATTCAAGAAGACAGCATAGTACGACCTGTTCCAGAGCAACAAGGGATGGACAATAAAAAGAAGTTCAGCCAGCAACACCAACGTTCCAAAAATGAATAAAATAATCCTGGAAGAAAACTGTATTTGAACAATTCCCGGAATCGGTAATATAAGTATTGGAAATTAGAAAACATTTTTTTATTTCCTTAGGGGATGTGAACTTCATTGACTCTGGCAAAATAAATGTTGTTTTCCTCTTGTATTGGCATTGTCATTTAGATGATGGTGGTGAACCACCTTCTTTACAGTTTCAGTCCGTATGAGTAGGTACACCCGTTTGTCAGGGAGGGAATTCCAGGAGTTTGCCCCAGCAACAGAGGTGGTGATATGGTTGCAAATCTGGATTTTGTATAACTTGGAGGAAAATGTTCAGATGGCAATGTTCCCTTTTATGCAGGAGAGGCTGTGGGTTTGGAAGGTGCTGTTGAAGTAGCCCTGTCGAGTTCATGCCATCTGTCCTGAAGCTGGCACATAATGCTGTGCCCTCTGTGCCAATAGTGGTGGTAGTGAAAACAAAAAAAAATGCTGGAAAATAGAGTGGGTCAGGAAGAATCAATGGAGAGAAAGTAAACTAACGCTGAGTCTAGTTGACCCTTCATCAGATCTGACATGAAGTGTAGAGGGGGCAGCATTTCTGTAATGGTGGGCTGGGGGAGAAAGGATGTTGATAGTGCAGATTAAGTGACTGGAATGTGAGAATGGCAGAACAAGGGTGTGTCTAACTGCCAGCCTGGAAAGTACAGGTGGTCCCACTGGAGTGAGGGTAGAAGAGGGAAGACATGTAACATTCTCTGTCACCAAGTAAAGCTAAAAGAAGAAAGGAATAGGAGTGGGTTCACAATCTGAAGGTTTTGAACTCAACATTAAGTCTAGAAGGTTGTAAAGTACCTAATCTGAAGATGTTATTCCTCCAGTTTGCACTGTGATTTGCTGGAGCATTGCAGCACGTCTAGGACAGACAAGTGGGCAAGCGAGCAGGATGCTGTGTTAAAATGACAGGCTACAGGAAGGTCGGGGTCGTGCTTGCACATGAACTAGAGGTGTTCTGCAAATCGGTCACCCAGTCTGCGTTTGGTTTCTCCAACGTAGAGTAGACCACATTGGGTGCAGCGAATGCAATAGCCCAGATTGGAGGAGGTACACGTGAAATGCCGCTTCACCTGGAAAGACTGTTTAGGCCCTTAGACGGTGAGCAGGGAGGATGTGAAGGGGCAGGTGATGCACCTTCTGTTGTTACCTGGGAAGGTGCCGTCTGTCTACACCTGGCTACTCCTCAGGGTAGTGTCCTCGACCCAACCATCTTCAGCCGCTTAATCAATGACCTTCCCCCCATCATAAGGTCAGAAGTGGGGATGTTCGCCAATGATTGCACAATGTTCAGCACCATTCGTGACTCCTCATATAGAGAAGCAGTCCATGTTCACATGCAACAAGATCTGGACAATATCCAAGCTTGGGCTGAAATGTGGCAAGTGACATTCATGCCACACAAATGCCAGGCTATGACCATCACCAATAAGAGACAATCTAACCATCGCCCCTTGACATTCAATGGTGTTACCATCACTGAATCTCCCACTATCAACATCCTGGGGGTTACCATTGACCAGAAGCTCAACTGGACTCACCACATTAACGGAGTGGCTGCAGGCCAGAAGCTGGGAATACCGCGGCGAGTAACTCACCTCCTGACTCCTCAAATCCTGTCCACCATCTACACGGCACAAGTCAGGACTGTGATGGAATACTCCCCACTTATCTGGATGAGTGCAGCCCCAACAACACTCAAGAAGCTTGACACCATCCAGGACAAAGCAGCCCGCTTGATTGGCCACAAGCATTCACTCCCTCCACCACTGATACTCAGTAGCAGCACTATGTACTATCCACAAGATGCACTGCAGAAATTCACCAAAGATCCTCAGACAGCACCTTCCAAACCCACAACCACTTCCATCTAGAAGGACAAGGGCAGCAGATATATGGGAACACCACTGCCTCCAAGTTCCCCTCCAAGTCACTCACCATCCTGACTTGGAAATATAGCGCCATTCCCTCACTGTCGTTGGGGCAAAATCCTGGAATTCCCTCCCTAATGGCATTGTGGGTCAATCCACAGCAGGAGGACTGCAGCGGTTCAAGAAGGCAGCTCACCATCACCTTCTCAAGGGTAACTAGGGTTGGGCAAGAAATGCTGGCCTAGCCAGCGATGCCCATGTCCCATAAAATGAATAGAAAATAAAAGGGGGTGTGGTGTTGGTGGTCGAGGAATGGACTATGGTGTCCCAGAGAGAATGGTCCCTGCTAAATGCAGACAGGGGAGTGAAGGAAAGATGTGTTTGGTGGTGGTGTTATGTTGGAGATATCTGAAGTGGCAGAGGATGATCCTTTGAATGCGGAGGCTGATGGGATGAAAAAGGGGGACAAGGGGAACCCGATCACGCCGTTGTGAGTGATGGGAAGGGAAGGGCAGAAGCATGGGTGATAGGTCGGATGCATTTGAGGGTCCTGTCAAGCACAGTGGGTGGGAAACCACGGTTATGGCAGAAGGAAGCCATTTCAACAACACTATTTTAGAAGGTGGCATCATCTGAACAGATATGATGTAGGCAAAGGAACTGGGAGAATAGGTTGGAGTTCTTGCAGGACGTGGGTTGTGACGAGCTGTAATGAGGGTAGCTATGGGAGTCAGTGGCTTTGTAGTGGATGGCAGTGGACAGTTTATTCCCCGAAATAGAGACAGAGAGGTCAAGAAAAGGAAATAAAATGTCAGAAATGGACCATGTGAAAGTTATAAAGATGTGGAAATTGGAGACAAAATGGACAAATTTTTTGAGGTCCACACAGTAGCATAAGGCAGTGCTGAAACAGTCATCGATGAACGAAGAAAACAATTGTGGGAGGGGGGCCAGTGCAAGCCTGGAATAAAGATTGTTCCACATACCCCATAAAGAGGCAGGCATAACTGGGACCCACGCCAGTGCCCATAGTCACTCCTTTGACTTGGAAAAAGTGAGATGAATTAAGGGAGAAATTGTTCAGTGAGAGAACAAGTTCAGCCAGGCAGAGAGAGCGGTGGTGGATGGGGACTGTTCAGGCCTCTAGTCAAGGAAGAAGCCAAGAGCTCTCAGACCATCTTGGTAGGGACTGGAAGTATAGAGAGATTGGACATCCATGGTGAAGAGGAGGCACTTGGGGCCAGGAAACTGGAAATCGTCAATATGGCAGAGGGCATCAGAGGAATCATGGATGTAGGTGGGCAGGGTCTAGACAAGGGGAGAGAGGATGGAGTCAAGGTAGGAGGAAATGAGTTAGAGTGGGCAGGAACAGGCTAGCATGATAAGCTTACCAGGGCAGTCTAGTTTGTGGATTTTAGGAAGGAGGTAGAAGCAGGCTGTTGGAATTGGAGGCAGTGACGAGGGAACATCTCCGGAGGTAATGAGGTCAGTGACAGTCCTGGCAACAATGGCTTGATGTTTGGATGTGGGGTCATGGGAGGAAGTGTCTGAGAATTAGCATGGAGCCTCCATGAGGTAAAGATCAGTGCACCAGACTACAACAGCGCCACCTTTGTCAGCTGGTTTGTTAACAAAGTTAGGATTAGACCTGAGAGAGCAAAGTGCGGCAATTTCAGAAGGGGAGTTAGAGTGGATGAGAGGAGCAGAGAAATTGAGACGGTCGATGTCATGCCAACATTCAATGAAGAGATTGAGGGCATGTAAGAAGCCAGAGGAAGGGGTCCAAGCGGAGGATGAATACTGGAGGCAGGGTGAAGAGATCAGTGGGGCAGCAGGGGGAAGGAGTTCTGCCTGAAGAAGTGAGTGTGGAGACAGAGGTGGTGGACGAAGAGTTCAACATCATGATGAGCACGAAATTCACTCAGGTGGGTGCGTAAAGGTATGAAGCTGAATCCTTTGCTGAGGACAATCCGTTCAGCCTCAGAGAGAGAGGGGAAGGTCAGGAGGTATGGTAAAAACACGGCTGGGTTGGGGGAGTGACCACTGGGGGCACAGAAGGGGACGGCATCTGAGGGCTGGGAAGGAGAATGTTACCTGCCACTTCCCCAGCTTTCAGATGTTGCTATACGCGGGCAGGGACTGCTTCAATATCTGAGGAGTTGCAAATTATACTCAATATACTTACATCTGAACTTATGATGGACGGAAGTTAATAATAAAACAGATATGTAAAGCAAGTGACCTATGCAGTGAAGAAATTAAAATCCTAATTAAATTAAAAGGAACTAATGAAAATAAAATACATTATGGGGACGTTTGAATAACCAGGAAACTGGTGAGACCATAGGAACAGAATTAGGCCATTCAGTCTG